GATTTTATTTCTTGCACTTTAGGAGTCTTGTTAAAGAAGTCAGGGCCTAATCCAACATGATGAATATTTAGGCCTACTTTTTCTTTTATTAGGCATAGGGTCTCTGGTCTAATTCCTAGGTCCTTGATCCACTTTAAGTTGATTTTTGTGTATGGTGAGAGATAGGGGTTTAGTTTCATTTTGCTGCATATGGATTTCCAGTTTTCCCAGCACCATTTGTTGAAAAGGCTATCTTTTCTCTAATGTGTGTTTTTGGCACCTTTATCTGGTATGAGATAACTGTATTTATGTGGGTTTGTCTCTGTGTCTTCTATTCTGTACCTTTGGTCTACATGTCTATTTTGGTGCCAGTACCATGCCATTTTTGTTACTATAACTTTCTAGTATAGTTTAAGGTCTGGTATTGTTATGCCTCCTGCTTCACTCTTCTTGCTAAGGATTGCTTTGGCTTATTCTGAGTCTCTTATTTTTCCAAATGAATTTCATGATTGCTTTTTCTATAAGGAATGATTTTAGGCTTTTAATTGGAGACACATTGAATCTGTATAGTGCTTTGGGTAATATGACCATTTTGACAATATTAATTCTGCCTATCCAGGAGCATGGGAAGTCTTTCATCTTCTAAGGTCTTCTTCAATATCTTTTTTTTAAATATTTATTTTTTTAGTTATATGTGGCCACAATATCTTTATTTTACTTTTATGTGGTACTAAGGACTGAACCCAGTGCCTCAGGCATGCTAGGCAAGCACTCTACCACTGAGCCACAGACCCAGACCAGGTCTTCTTCAATTTCTTTCTTTAGTGTTCTGTAGTTTTCATTGTAGAGGTCTTTCACCTCTTTTGTTAAATTGATTCCCAAGTATTTTATGTTTTTGAGGCTATTGTGAATGAGATAGTTTTCCTAATTTCTCTTTCAGAGGATTCATCATTGATATTTAGAAATGCATTTGATTTATGGGTATTGATTTTTATAGCCTGCTACTTTGCTGAATTCATTTATTAATTCTAAATTCTGGTGGAATTTTTTGGATCCTGTAAGTATAGAATCATGTCATCAGCAAATAATGATAGTTTGAGTTTTTCTTTTCCTATTTGTATCCCTTTAATTTCTTTCGTCTGTCCAATGGCTCTGGCTAGAGTTTCAAGAACTATGTTGAATAGAAGTGGTGAAAGAGGCCATCCTTGTCTTGTTCCAGTTTTTAGTGGGAATGCTTCCAATTTTTCTCCATTTAGAATGACGTTAACCTTGGGTTTATCATAGATAGCTTTTACAATGTTGAGGTATGTTCCTACTATTCCTAGTTTTCTAGTGTTTTGAACATGAAAGGGTGCTGCACTTTGTCAAATGCTTTCTCTGCATCAGTTGATATAATCATATGATTCTTTTCTTTAAGTCTATTATATGATGAATTACATTTATTGATTTCTGTATGTCGAACCAACCTTGCATCCCTGGAATGAACCACACTTGATCATGGTACACAATTTTTTAAATATGTCTTCATATGCAATTTGCCAGAATTTTCTGGATAATTTTTACAACTGTGTTCATCAGGGATATTGTCTGAAATTTTCTTTCCTTGATGTGTCTCTGTCTGGTTTTGGTATCAGGATGATACTAGCCTCATAGTATGAGTTTGGAAGAGTTCCCTCCTTTTCTATTTCATGGAATAATTTGAGTATTGGTATTAATTCTTTGTAGATCTTGTAGAACTTGACTGAGAATTCATCTGGTCCCCTGCTTGTCTTTGTTGGTAGGCTTTTGATGGCGTCTTCTACTTCCTTGCTTGAAATTGATCTTTTTAAATTGTGTATGTCTTCTTTGTTCAGTTTGGGTAGATCATATGCCTCTAGAAATTTGTGTCTTCGAGGTTTTCTATTTTACTGGAGTATAAATTTTCAAAATAGTTTCTAATTGTCTTCTGTATTTCAATAGTGTCTGTCATGATATTTCCTTTTTCATCATGAATTTTAGTAATTTGAGTTTTCTCCTTTTCATTAGGGTGGCTAAGGGTTTGCCAATTTTATTTTTTCAAAGAACCAGCTTTTGTTTTGTTATTTTTTTGAATTACTTTGTTTCAACTTCATTGATTTCAGCCCTGATTTTAATTATTCTCTGTTTTCTTCTACTTTTGGTGTTGATTTGTTCTTTTTCTAGGGCTTTGAAATGTAATGTCAATTCGTTTTTATTGACTTTTTCTTCTGTTAATGAGTAAGCTTAATGCAATGAACTTTCCTCTTAGCACTGCTTTCATAGTATACCAGAGATTTTGATGTTGTATCAGAGTTCTCATTTACTTCTAGGAATTTTTTTTATCTTCTCTCTGATGTCATCTGTTACCCAGGTGCCATTCAGTGGCGTATTATTTAGTCTTCAGATGCTGGAGTAGCTTTTATTTTTTATTTTATCATTGATATCTAATTTCATTCTGTTACGGTTAGATAGAACACAGGTTCATATCTCTATTTTTGTATTTGCCGAGACTTGCTTTGTGGCATAACATATGGTCTATTTTGGAGAAGGATCCATGTGCTGCTGAGAAAAAAGTATATTCATTTGTTCATGGAAGGACTATTCTATATATGTGTATTAAGTCTAAACTGTTATTTGTTTTATTGAGTTTGATAGTTTCTTTGTTTAGTTTTTGTTTGGAAGAACTATCCAGTGGTGAGAGAGTGTATTAATGTCACCTAATATTATTGTGTTGTGGTCTATTTGATTCTTGAAGTTGAGAAATGTTTGGTTGATATACATAAATGCTCCTATGTTTGGGGCATAGATATTTACAATTGTTATGTCTTGTTTTTGTTGTTGTTGTTGTTCTTTGTTTTTTGTTACCAGGGATATTGAACTCAGGGATACTTGACCACTGAGCCATATCCCAGCCCTATTTTGTATTTCATTTAGAGACAGGGTTTTGAACTTGCGATCCTCCTGTCATAGCCTCCCGAGCTGCTGGGATTACAGGTATGCGCTACTGCACCCGACTGTTATGTCTTGTTGATGTATGATTCCCTTGAGTAGTATGAAATGTGCTCCTTTATCCCTTTTTGCTAACTTTGGTTTGAAGTCCACTTTATCTGATATAAGGATGGAAACCCCTGCTTGTTTCCTCAATCCATGTAAGTGATATTTTTTTCCCAACCTTTCACCTTCAGTCTGTGGATGTCTTTTCCTGTGAAATGAGTCTCTTGAAGGCAGCAAATTGTTGGGTCTTTTTTTAAAATCCAATCTGCCAGTCTATATCTTTTAATTATTGAGTTTAGGCCATTCACATTCAGGGTTATTATTAAAATATGTTTTATATTCCCAGTCATTTTGGTTTATTTGGGGTTTTTTAAAAAATAAATATTTTTAAGGTGTAGTTGGACATGATGCCTTTATTTTATTTACTTATTTTTATGTGGTGCTGAGGATCAACCCCAGGGCCTTGCACTCTACCACTGAGCCACACCCCTAGCCCCTATTTTTGGTTTTTAATTTGACTTAGTTTCTCTTTCATTTGGCCTTTCCTTTAGTGTAGTTCCTCACTTTGCAGATAGTCATTGTTGTTTTCCATTTCCTTCTCATGGAATATTTTGAAAAGAATATTCTGTAGTGCAGGCTTTCTTGCTGTAAATTCTTTTAATTTTTGTTTATCATGGAAGGTTTTTATTTAATATGAAGCATAATTTCGCTGGATATAAGATTCTTGGTCGGCATCCATTTTCTTTCAGAGCTTGGTATGTTGTTACAGGATCTCCTTGCCCTGAGGGTCTGGACTGAAAAATCAGCTGAGATCCAAATTGGTCTCCCCCTATATGTAATCTGATTCTTCTCTCTTATGGCCTTGAATTCTATTATTCTGTATGCTAGACATTTTCATTATAATGTGGTTTGGTGTAGATATGTTGTAATTTTGTACATTTGGTTTCCTGTAAGCCTCTTGTATTTGATTTTTCAATTCATTCTTCATGTTTGGGAAATTTTCTGATATTATTTCATTGAGGATATTGTGCTTTCTTCTATCCTGATAAACCTTATATTTGGTCTTTTTATGTTATCCCATAATTCTTGGATGTTCTATTTATGATTTATTTCCATCTTCACTGTGTGGTCAACTTTATTTTCCAGATTGTGTATTTTGTTTTTCATTGTCTGAGGTTCTGTCTTTCAAGTGATCTAGTCTGTTGGTGACACTTTCTATTGAGTTTTTATTTGGTTTATTTATGAAATCCTTCATTTCAAAGATTTCTGGTTTTTTTTTTCCCAAAATCTCTCTCTTAAAGTAATCTTTTGCTACCTATATTTGCTCTCTTATCTCTTTGTTAGAGTGATCAATTTTTGCCTGTATGTGCTCATTTAGGTCATTCTTTGATTCACACATCATTTTAATCATGTACATTCTTTTTTAAAAATATGTTTTTTTTAGTTATAGATGGACATAATACTTTTTAAAAAAAATATTTTGTTTATTTAGTTGTAGTTGGACACAATACTTTTATTTTATTTTTACGTGGTGCTGAGGATCGAACCCAGGGCCTCGCACATGCTAGGCGAGCCCTCAACCGCTGAGCCACACCCCCAGCCCATATACTTTTATATTATTATTTTTATGTGGCTCTGAGTGTCCCAGTGTCTCACACATGCTAGGCAAGCGCTCTATCACTGAACCACAACCCCAGCCCCCAATCATGTACATTATGAACTCCTTTTCTGTCATTTCATCTATAGCACTGTCATTGGATTCTAGTGTTATACCATCTTGGTTTGTTTGGGGCATTTTCCTCCCTTGTTTTTTCATATTGTCTATGTCTCTTCCTCTCTTGCATTGTGGATCTAAGGTATTGAAGTTTCTACTCTATAATCTTGTAATGTCCCTGCAGGTTATGGAATACCTCACCTTTAAGGGAAAGATCAAGGGGCTGGGGATGTGGCTCAAGCGGTAGCGCGCTCGCCAGGCATGCGTGCGGCCCGGGTTCGATCCTCAGCACCACATATAAAGATGTTGTGTCCGCCAATAACTAAAAAAAAAATAAATGTTTAAAAAATTCTCTCTCTCTCTCCTCTCTTTAAAAAAGAAAGAAAGAAAGAAAGAAAGATCAACGTGTACAGCACCCGATGCAACTATGCAGCTATAAATCAATTAGCTTCTATTTAGATACAGTTTTGCCACTATAAACAGAAATGATGAGTTTGGTTATCTTCTACCATAAAGGCAGTAGGTTTGAATAGGGTTTAGAGTTTGTAGTGGTGAACAGAGAGAGAGAGGGAAGGGAGTAGGATGTGATGTTTATGAGGTAGGATGTGAGAATATAGAGGTATTAGATTATAGGAAGAGTGAAAGGGAAATCAACAGAAGTTGGCTGTTAGCAGGAGGGAAAAAAAAAGGAGAGAGAGGCTACCCTATGCAAGGCTCCCTGTTGCCTCTGCAACAGGATGGTGACTGTTAGCACACCTAATAGGGATACTTCTGGTGCCACTGGGCCCCCAGAGACCTTGGTGATGGTCTTACAGTTCCTGGTTATTGTCCCTAGATAGAAGTGGCCACATTCCTAGTTGGTGGCAGCAATAGCATCAAGCCTGTAGGTACCTTGCTATTGGGGTTCCAGGCCTCAGTTGGTGTCCCAAGATGGAATCTGCCCCAACTAAATATGGCGGAGGTGGCAGTGGAGGTAACCCAATATGGCAGTTGAGGTGTCCCAAGATGGAGGCATCCACTTTCACAGATGGGGCTGGGAGGATGGGCTGTGTGATAGCATTGGGCAGCCTGTTCGGTGATGGCACAGTGTGGCACGCAGTGCTGCAGCAGACAGCTGCCTCCTGGCCCTGTCCATTGTCCCACAGTGGAGATTACCATGTGGAAAGGGCTATGGCTGTGGCTGTAATGTCCCAAGATGTAGGTGGTTTGGGTGCAGTCACACTTTGGTGGATAGGGAGCCACAGTGTGGTGTTCCTCTCCATGCAGGCACATGGTTCTTGGCTCCAGCTGAGGCTGCACATGGTGGGTTCTGGTCTGGGCTCCGTAAAAAAAAAATATTTAAAAAAAAGGACTAGGGATGCAGCTCAGTGGTAGAATGCCCTTGGGTTCAATCCCCAGTCAAATAAATAAATAAATAGGAATTCTGGACCTCTCAGATCTGTGCACTATAAGGAGGTAGAAGGCTCCTTTCTCTTTATATACCTAAATCTGTTGCCTGGCAAGGAACTAAGTGCACACACATGGAGATGTCCTAACCTGCACACTCACACTCTGGTCTACACAATGAGGTACACATCATCATCCTTCAGAATACCAGGGAACACAGAGAAGGTCTTCAAAACTCAGAAAAGGAGGGGGTACATTCAAAGATGCTTTCTTTTATAAAATTTTAGTTGTCAACAAAACATTTATTTATTTATTTATTTATATGCAATGCTGAGAATTGAACCCAGTGATTCACACATGCTAGGCAAGAGTTCAATCCCTGAGCCATAACCCTGGCCCTCAAAGATGCTTTCTCAAAGTTAGAAGAAAACAGAGCAATTGCTTCAACATTATGAAAGATTTCATCTACAGTCAAATTACCAATGAAACATGAATAGACTGAAGATTTTTTTTTTATTAAAATTTTTTAGTTGTCAATAGACCTTTTTTTTTAAAGAGAGAGAGAGAGAGAGAGAGAGAGAGAGAGAGAATTTTTAATATTTATTTTTTAGTTTTCGGTGGACACAACATCTTTGTTTGTATGTGGTGCTGAGGATCGAACCCAGGCTGCATGCATGCCAGGTGAGCGCGCGACCGCTTGAGCCACATCCCCAGCCCCGTCAATAGACCTTTATTTTATTTATTTATATGCAGTGCTGAGAATCGAACCCAGTGCCTACGCATGCTAGGCAAGTACTCCACCACTGAGCCACAACCCCAGCCCTGAAAATATTTTTATTTCCACTTAACAGGTATGGTTGTATGGCAGCCAGCCTCTAAGGTGGCCTCTAATGAGTTCCAGATCCTGGTATTTGCATTCTTGTGCCATTCTTTCACATGTCCGTGAACACGGCTGACCTATGAAGCCAAGGGAGAGTGCAGAACTGCCAGTATGTGTCTTCCAAAGCTAGCTCATAGGCAGCCTAATGGTTTCTACCTTGCTTTATTCTGGATCACTTGCTCTGGTGAAAGCCAGCTGTGATCAGAACATAAGATATTCAAACAGGGCCAGTTGCAGTAGGGCACACTGTAATCCCAGTGGCTCAGGAGGCTGAGGTGGGGAGTGGCAAGTTCAAGGCCAGCCTTAGCAACCGTGAGGCGCTTAGCAACTCAGTGAGACCCTGTCTCTAAATAAAATACAAAAGAGTGCTGGGGATGTGGCTTATGGTTGAGTACCCCTGATCAGGTTCAATCCCCGGTAACCCCCACAACAGCAACAAAAAAGATTCAAACAGTTCTATGGTGAGGTCCATGAAGCAAGGAACTGAGACCTCCTTCCAACAGCCTGCATAGTTTGCTGCCATGTGAGTTGGCCATCTTGGAAGTGGATCCTTAAGCCCCAGTCAAGCCTTCCAGAAGAAGATCCTTAAGCCTTCTCTCCATGGGAGACCCCAAGCCAGAACCACCCAGCAAAGTTACTCCCAAAGACCTGACTCTCAGAAACTGTGAGATTACAAATGTTAATTGTAGTTTAAAGCCATTAAGTTTGGGAGTAATTTGTTACACAACAAAAGAAACACACACAGATATATAAGAGGTAAGGTGAAAGGAGCCCCAGTATTTTGTAGTTTCTCTAATCAGTAGGTGAAGTTTAGCTGGGCGCAATGGCACATGCCTGCAATTCCAGCAGCTCGGGAGGCTGAGGCAGGAGGATTGCAAATTCAAAGCTAGCCACATAGGACATTACAGAAAAATTACAGCAGGTTAAAATGTGCTTGTGCAATTGGGTCTTGCTTTCTCTTGCTCCTGGGAACTCGGTGACTGTCACCTTGTAATTGAGCTCAGACAGTTTGTTGGAGACATAGACCCTATCATCTCATATAACAGCCAATATCAATGAGGCATGTGAGGCCATTCCAAACTGGCACAGCAAAGAACTATCCACAAAACTTTGAGAAATAATAAATATTTGTGTTTAAGTTGTTAATAAATGTTGTTGTTGAAGTTTTAGGATGAATTTAGGATGAATTCACGCAGAATTAGCTAACTGGTCCTTAAGTGAGACTCAGTTTTTCCAAAGAAAAGCTACTGAGTATATCATTCAATTAAATGAACACTAATAATGAACACTACACGCTGGGCCCTTGCCTGAGATTGTGATGTGAAAATAGGCATAATTTATGAACTAGAGCTACTTTGAAGCAGAACCAATCTTGTCTACTTCACAAATAACTGAAGTAGGAAAACGTGAACAGATCAATATTTTTGTTTGTAGTTTAGTAGTCTTACCGTGGCACTCCTGAGCCTGCTGTGAAGTTCAGAGTATCTCAGAACTTCCTGGGATCCTGGTTTTCCTCTTTCTATCACAGAGCATTCTATTCTGAAAACAAAATCATTTTGATTCTTTTTAAAGAATAAATAAATATTTATTTATATATTCACAGTAGCGAGGATTAAACCCAGGTGGCTTTACTACTGAGCTACATCCCAGCCCTGTAAATTTTTTTAAAAAAATTTTGAGACAGAGTCTTGCTAAGATATCCAAGATGGCCTTGAATTTTCTTTTTTCTTCTGTTTTTTTTTTTGTACTGGGGATTGAACCTAGGCCTAGGGTTATTTTACCACTGAGTTCCACCCCCAGCCCTTTTATTTATTATTATTTTAAATTTTGAGACAGGGTCTCTCTAAGTTGCTTAAAGCCTCACTAAGTTTCTGAGGCTGATTTAGAACTTGCCATCCTCCTGCTTTGGCCTCCTGAGTGGCTGAGATTACAGGCATGTGCCACAGTGCCTGGGTTGGCCTCCAACTTTTCATTCTCCTACCTCTGATCCTCTTGCCTCAGCCTCCTGAATATGTAGTGGCACACTGTTCATTTCAATTCTTTTTTAAAAATATTTTTTACTTGTCAATGGACCTTTATTTTATTTATTTATATGTGGTGCTGAAAATCTAACACAGTGCCTCCATACATGCTAGGCAAGGGCTCTACCACTGAGCCACAGACCCAGCCCTTTTCAATTCTTTTTGACACTATGAAAAACACTTTCCATTGCACTTGGGTACACAAACTCCAATATAAACAAAAGTTTCATCAATTGAGACTAAATTTAAGATACGTACTGAGTTTTTGTATTGTATTCTATTTTATTCTTTTTTATATTTTTTTTGTTGTAGTTGGACACAATACCCATTTTTTATTAATTTATTTTTATGTGGTGCTGAGGATCAAACCCAGGGCCTCACACGTGGCTGAGCCACAACCCCAGCCTCTCTATTTTATTCTTTCAATATGTTGGTTACACCCAACATGTGGTGCACACATGTAATCCTAGTGACTCTGGACTCTGGAGGCTTAGGCAGGAGGAAGGCAAGTTAGAAGCCAGCCTCAGCAACTCAGTGAGGACCTAAGCAACTTAGTAAGACTCTATATAAAAATAAAAAGAGCTAGGGATTTAGCTCAATGGTAAAGAGCCCTTGGGTTCAATCCCCAGTACAACAACAACAACAACAACAACAATAATAATCATTTAAAAAAGTATATCACAATCTTTTAAATTAGCCATTTAAAAGAGCTGTTCTGGGCTGGGGATGTAGCTCAAGCGGTATCGCGCTTGCCTGGCATGCGTGCGGCCCGGGTTCGGTCCTCAGCACCACATACAAACAAAGATGGTGTGTCCACCGAAAAACTAAGAAATAAATATTTAAAAAAAATAAATAAAAGAGCTGTTCTGAAATATCACAAAGGGGAGGCAATTTTAAGATCATCTAGCACGGGGCATGGTGGCACACGCCTATAATTCCAGCAACGTAGGAGGCCCAGACAGGAAGATCGAACGTTCAAGGCCAGCCTCGGCAATTTAGCAAGGCCCCAAACAACTTAGCGAGATCCTATCTCAAAATAAAAAGGGCTGGGAAGGTAACTCAGTGGCAAAATGCACCTGGGTTCAATCGCCAGTACTAAAATAAATAAAATGAAAATAAACCATCTGGTTGAAGCCCTTTACTTGAACTGAGCCTCAGAGAGGTTAAGTCACTTGCCCAGTGCTTAGATTTGATGGTAATAACCTACCTTGTGTCAGTCATCACTCTGGGATCTTGAATCGCATTATTTCATTTAATATTCTTCCCACTTTACAGACAAGGAAACAGTCTCAGAATAGGGTAAATGACTTATTCAGAGCGTCATACCATCCTAGCACTTGTCTCCGGGTCAGGAGGTCCACAAAGCCCGCTATCAAGAACGTGGTTGGGAAATTGGGTGTGTGAACTCTCCACGCCCGAGCGCACGTGTGAGGCACTGATAAGAGCCGTGGTAAGAGCTCAGGGCCTTAGCACTCCGCGCGCCTTGCTCCACCAGCTCCAGTGAAACGTGGCAGCTGAAGAAGAAAGCGCAGACTTCAATCTCGGGGAGAGGGATTCGAATCCCGCACCACAGTCTGCTGATAACACCAGCAGCATCTCTACCCTTCGGTTTCCACGGCTCTGAAGCCGGTGTTGATAGGAAGACGCCTGTCAAAGTCCGCCCGAGCCATTCCCATCAGAACCACGCCCATCGTAGCCACGCCCACATCCACGCCCCCTCCCCAGCGGGCGCATGCGCCGCTCAGGGGCGCCTTTTACGACGCGTCAGACACTGCGCTTGGCGGCCGCAGGGCAGCCGGGAGAGAGCTGCGCGAGCGGCAGCGGGGCCGAGGGGACGCGCGGGTGGCGGCGTCGCCATGTCGCATGGCCACAGCCACGGCGGGGGCGGCTGTCGCTGCGCCGCGGAACGGGAGGAGCCGCCGGAGCAGCGCGGCCTGGCCTACGGCCTGTACCTGCGCATCGACCTGGAGCGGCTGCAGTGCCTCAACGAGAGCCGCGAGGGCAGCGGCCGCGGCGTCTTCAAGCCGTGGGAGGAGCGGACAGACCGCTCCAAGGTGGGCTGCCGGCGCCGGGGCGGGCGGGGCGGGATCCGCGGGGCCTTCGGACACCCGGCTGCTCTGTCAGCCTCACTCTTGATGCTAAAAATAACGACAGCCAGGTCGCCAGGCGCTTTCCGCTGCCGGCCTCGCGCTTGCCTTTTGGGAGGCGAGCAGGGCCATCTTCCCCGCTTTGCAGATACGGAAACTGAGTCCCGGAGAGTGGAAGCGGGCGCTTGGCTCTACACAGCGTAACGCTGTGTTCCAAGGCTGCCTGGGTTAGGAGGAGGATGGCCGTGAGGGCGTTTTCCCTTCTGTTTGACCATTGGTCCCAGTGGCTGCGTGATCGTGTCACCTGGTGAGGACGGGCAAGGGAGACCATGGGTGTTTCCGATCTAGAGCGCAGGCCCCCTTGAGAGCTAAGCCGGTTGAAAGTTATGGACCCTCTCCAGAAAAATGCACATGAGCACTGATCTCTCAATTTGTAATTCAGGAGACTCCGGGTTAGGAAACCTCTAATTGGATGGTCTTTATCAGAACTCTGTGGATAGACATATTAGTTTCAAATTAATAAGTCCTGGAAAACCGAGGAAGGTTGACTGCATTGTACTCCAGTTTGCAGAACAGGGTGGGAGATGCCTGAAGACATAGGCTCTCAGCAAATATTTGTTGCTTTCTCCTCCCTCCTCCCCATTCTCTCCAGTTTGTTGAAAGTGATGCAGATGAAGAGCTTCTGTTTAATATTCCGTAAGTATCTCCTTGGTGTCTGCTTCAGGCTAAATAGGCTGTACACAATTGTCTTCTCAGATGGATTCATTCATTGCTTGGGTCAAGAGCACACATCTGTTTGTAGAAATGGGATAATACTTTGGTGGGTTTTAGGAGGAGAGCATCATAACTCTTTTGATGCAAACTGGAAGCAGATATATTTGTTGAGCAATAACTGAAAAGTAGATGTAAATTTCTTAGAATTGCATAATGCCAGAGGTGGACATGATCTTAGAAATGATCAAGTACAAGTCTGACAGATGAGTACATTGAAGGTCAGAAAGGGGAAGGGTCTTGACTAGGGGTCACACAGCTAAGTAGGGATACAATCCCAGGTTGACAACCTTCTCTTTTGCATTCTGGCAGATTTACGGGCAATGTCAAGCTCAAAGGCATCATTATAATGGGAGAGGATGATGACTCACACCCCTCTGAGATGAGACTGTAAGTGGACAGGCTTAGGCCCTCAAGAACCTTTTAGTTCTATTTCTTTCTTTAGTAACACTTTATTCCATAGTAATATAATTTTTCTTCATTAGATTTGATATTCTCCCTCTTAAAATATAATTTTTCTTTATTAGATTTGATATTCTCCCTTTTGATCTTGTTATTTATGTGGGAATACACTTATCTCTTTATTTTTTATTTCTTTATTTTTGAACCCAAGGCCTCACACATGCTAGGCAAGCACTCTACCATTGAGCTACATCCCCATCCCAGTGACTTGTTTAGATTAAACATCTTCAGGGCCAACAGCTTGTCTCATTTTCAAAGTGCGTACTGTGGCATCATTCATTCAGAGAGCATTCTATAAATGCCAACTGTTGATGACTTTGCAGTTTTCTTAATAACCCAGCTGCAGATCTCAAACGATCTTTATGGATTCCACTCTTGGGATGAGCTTCAAAATGTTCCTTGGTATTTCACTCAGTCGTCATCTTTGCAGATGTTATGTTGACATGAGATTGCTTTGTCTGAGTTTGTGTGCCTTTATATGGCTAAGTTCTGTGTATCTTTTATGACACTAGATCTGTTGCCACCAGAGTTAGTACTTCCTTTTAGACAACTTACTTTTTTCAAGTGTAGTCTAAAAGAGGAAAAATTTTTTTCTGAGTTCTGAGAAACAAATAACAGAATAATTTTACATTAAAAAAAAAACCATCCAGCTGGATTGTGATGGTGCATGCCTGTAATTCCAGCAGCTCAGGAGGCTGAGGCAGAAGTATTGCAAGTTTGAGAGCAGCCTCAGCAACTTAGTGAGGCTCTAAGTAACTTAGTGAGATCTTGACTCAAAATAAAAAATAAAAAGGGCTGGGAATGTAGCTCAGTGGTAGAGTGCTGCTGAGTCCAATACCACCACCTCCCCCGCAAAAAAATCTTTTTTTTTTTTTTTTTTTTTATCCAAGATGGTGCCCAATGATAGAGTGTGTGCTTAGTGTGCCTGAGGCCCCAAGTTTGATCTTCAGCACTGTAAGAAAAAGAGGAAAAAAAATTTTTTTAATCTGAAAAATTGATCCAGTTTAAATGGACTTTAGAGAGATTTGATAACTTGATACCATTTTTAAGTATTATAAAACAAATTTAAAAGCAGATTTATACATGCAGTCATTTTAAAAAAATTGTTTGTTTGGACTGATGCTTTTGGAGACTCAGTTACTAGGAAGATGGGCTGACTTCAGGATATCCCTGTTGCTTTGGATTAAGAGTGGGCTGTGAGGTAAATTGGGTTCAAATTCTGGCTGCATACTGGCTAGCTGCTGCATGACTAGGACATTACATAACTTCATGCCTATTTTCTCAGGTAAAATAGGAAGAATAAGAGTATAACCTCGAGGTTGTGGAGATCCAACATGTAAAGAACTTAGAATAGGTCTGGAACATAATACAGGCCCAGTTTTTGGGTGAGCAGGTACAAATACTTAATAGTTCTAACACACTACATATATAACATTTCTCTGAATCTAAGATGTCATTGTAAACACACTATTATTTTAGGTAGAGTTTATAAAAAGAAACAATGATTCCTGGTCAGCAATGACATATCATTGACACATCCAAAAAAGTTAAATTAAGAATTTTGGGCTCTCTCTCCCTCTCTCTCTTTAAAAAAAAAAAAAAAAAGAATTTTGGGGGATACCAGGAATTGAACCCAGGGGGGCTTTTCCACCAAGTTACATCCCTAGTCCTTTTTTTTTTTTGAGTTTTGAGATGGGGTCTTGCTAAGTTGCTGAGGCTGGCCTCAAAGTTGAGATCCTCCTGCCTCAGCTTCCTGAGTTGCTGGAATTATAGGGGTTTGCCACCGTGCCCAGCTAAATTGAGAATCTTAAATCGAAGTATGTGAATACCAAGTATAGATGTTAGATGATATTAAAGAATTACTGTTGCAGAGGGTAAATAGTTCAGTAGTAAAGTGCTTGCCAAGCATACCCAAGGTCCCAGGTTTGACCTGAGTACCATAAAAGAAAGAGAAGAAAGAATTGTTGTTAGCTTGGCTAATTATTAATATTGTTAATTACTGTAAAAGAATATCTTTTTTTTTTAAATTTTGTAGTTGAAGATGGACAGAATGCCTTTATTTTGTTTAATTTTTAATGCAATGCCAAGGATCAAACCCAGTGCCTCACACATGCTAGGCAAACTCTCTGCCACCAAGCTCTAGCCCCAGCCCTAGCATCTTTTTTTTTTTTTTTAAGAAATCTTTTTCAGGGCTGGGGTTGTAGCTCAGTGATAGCGCACTGTTCTGGCATGTGTGAGGCACTGGTTTCAATCCTCAGCACCACTAAAAATAAATTAATAAAATAAAGGTATTGTGTCCATCTACAGCTAAAAAAAATATTTTTAAAAGTTTTATTCAGAAATACTAAAGTATTTATGGGTGAAATGGTATATCTGGGATTGCACTGAAATATGAAACAAAAACAAAATAGGGGTGATAGGCAAAATCAGCATAAATTTGTTAATTAAGCTGAGTAGTAAGGTATGTAGTTCATTATTTTCTGTCTGCTTTTGTGAATGTAGTTTTTCATAAAATTTTAAGTTTTAATATATGCAACTCTTAGAATTGATCCAATTTAATCTTCATATCAACTGTTTGGACTATGTATTGTCACTATCCCAATTTTACAGATGAGGAAACTGAGACACAGAGAGGTTAAATCACTTGTCCAAAATTACACAGCTGGTAAGTGACAGCCAGCTTTAGACCTAGAAGTGTAGCTCCAGAGATACTGCTATTTATCTCTTTTTAATCTTTATTATTATTTTAATTGACACAAAATAATTGTGCAGGGCTTGGGATGTGGCTCAAGTGGTAGCGCGCTCGCTGCGGCCCGGGTTCAATCCTCAGCACCACATACAAACAAAGATGTTGTGTCCGTCGAGAACTAAAAAATAAATATTAAAAAATTCTCTCTCTCTCTCTCTCTCCCCCTCCCTCTCCCTCACTCTCTCTTTAAAACAAAACAAAACAAAACAAAATAATTGTGCATATTTTTATGGAGTACAGTATATTTCATACACACAAATGTTCAGGATCATTGATATAACCATCACCTTAAACATTTGCCATTTCTTTGTGTTGGGAACATTCAAAATTATCACTAGGGCTGCAGATGTAGCTCAGTAGTAGAGCACTTGCCTAGCCTGCATGAAGCCTTAGGTTCAATCCCAGGCAGCCTTACCCTTCCCATCCCCCCAACCTTAAATATTCTCTGCTAGCTATTTTGAAATATACAACTAATTGTCATCAACTATAGTTATCCTACTGTGCTATTAAGAACATTAGAATCTGGGCAGTGATGCACACCTGTAATCTCGTTGATTTAGGAGCCTGAGGCAGAAGGATTGCAAGTTTGAGGCCAGCCTGAGCAACTCAACAAGTCCCTCAGCAACTTAGTGAGACCCTGTCTCAAAATAAAAAAATAGAAAGGACTGGGGATGTGGCTCAGTAATAGAAGCACTCCTGAGTTCAATCTCTGGTACCAAAAAAAAAAAAAGAAGAACATTAGTAGTATTCCTCCTATCCAATGTATCCCTATACTGATTACCCATCCTATCTTCATTCCCTCTTCCCTCACTCTTCCCGATCTCTAACCATTCTACCTACTTCCATGAAATCAACTTTTTAGCTTACACTCTTAAGTGAGAACATGCAATATTTGTCTATCTTTGCTGTAATTCACTTAATGTTCATAGTGTATGTATATGTATCTATATATATACACACACATATACATACATACACATATGTGTGTGTGTGTGAGTGTATGTATCACATTTTCTTCATCCATTCACCTGCTGATGGATACCTAGATTGATGCCTTATCTTGACTGCTGTGAACAGCCCTGCAGTGAACATAGAAGTATGGATGTCTCTTTAACGTACTGATTCCTTTCCTTTTGTTATATGCCCCATAATGGAATTGCTGGATCATATAGTAGTTCTCTGTCTATAGGATTGTTCATACTGTTTTCCGTCACACCAACATGTGGAAGAGCTCCTTTCTCTGTGCATCCTTACCAGCATTTATTTTCTGGATTTTTGATAATAGCCATCCTAATGGAAGTGAGTTGATATCTCGTTGTGTTTTTTTTTTTTTTTTTTAATACTTTTTTTTTTTTTTAGTTTTTTAGGTGGACAAAATATCTTTATTTTATTTTTATGTGGTGCTGAGAATCAAACCTAGTGCCTCATGCATGCTAGGCGAGCACGCTACCACTTGAGCCACATCCCCAGCCCTTCGTTGTGGTTTTGATTTCTATTTGCCTGATGGGTAGTACTTTTGAGCATTTTTTCATATATTTGTTGGCCCTTTAACTTCTTTTGAGAAACTCTATTCAGTTCTTTTGCCTGCCCCCTTTTTTTCCCAGTACTGGGGATTGAACCTGAGGTTGCTACCACTGAGCTATATCTCAAGCTCTTTTTATTTTTTATTTTGAAATAGTGTCTCACTAAGTTGCTCAGGCTGGCCTCAGTTTTGATTCTTCTGCCTCAGCCTCTCAAGTAGCTAAGATTTTAGGCGTGTACTACAAGTTCATTTGCCTGTTTTTTAATTGAATTATTTGTGTTTTTGCTGTTGGGTTGTTCCATATGTATTCTTGCCATTAATCCCTTATGATAACTAATGAATAGATCACAAATATTTTCTGCAATCCTATAGGTTAAGACACTATTTTTTTTTCCTTCCAGTGCTGAAGATTGAACCAGGGCCTCTGGCATGCTAGGCAAGCACTCTGCTTCTGAGCTACACCCCCCAGCCTGAGACACTGCTTTTAACTGTAGAGCTGCACTAGCTCTCATAGTACTGCTCATAAATGTTCATTATTATCATTCTGCTGTGCATCATTCTTAGAAACACTTTGAAGCAAACATTTGCTTTTTAAAATTATATGCATTTTGCTGCTGCTGAAGTCTGGGCCTTTCCTTTGTAGATATGTTAATAAAAACACCTTCATGTTGGTGGGTGTATGTGGCTTAGTCCTGCAGAATTTGTAGAAACTGCTATTACTTAGATTTTCCTTTGAAAAATATTTTCTTAAATTGCAGTGATACCTTGACTTGCCAAAGCCTTTTGCAAGTTTGCAGGCTTTTGTGCTCTTTGGAATCGGAAATCCCTAAATTGTATTATTTTAAGAACTGTAAGATGATTGAGTGTATGGGGTAATTTTTAGAAACAAAAAATGCTTGAATATTGGGTTACCTGATCTTATCTCTTAACTGTTTAATATGCTTCTGCCAAAGTGTGTCTTTTTTCCCATGAGTAGGCTGTTTTATTTCACATCCTCAGCTTGGTATGAATGTGCTGAGTGGCTTATTTTCTCCATGCATTTGCTGCACGTGACCTAGTTTGAGCCTCCTCTTTGTGTATTGCTTCTCATGTGATCTTAACCCACTCAGAGATGCCACTGGATCATGTTGCAGTTCTCAGCTCTTTTCTTTTTTCTTCCTCTCTCTCTCTCTTTCTTTAAGGAGACAGGTATCTTAATATCTTGCCTAGGCTGTCCCTGAATCCCTGGGCTCACGTGAATCCTCCTGCCTCAGCCTCCTGAATAGCTGGGACTATTGGTGTACACTACTGTTTCTTGTTGGTTTAAGGATATTTATGTCTAAATTTCAGTAAAATGCCATTTCCAAAATTTGACTGCAAATTTTTATCTCCTTTAGATGGAATTGAAGTAAAGTCAGTTGAGCAGTCAATAGGAAGTCTTAAAAAAAACCCTGAAAACTGATAGTGCACATTTCTTGATTTTCCCCCCCCCCCCTTTCCTTTCTCAGGTACAAGAACATTCCACAGATGTCGTTTGATGATACAGAAAGGGAGCCAGATCAGACCTTTAGTCTGAACCGGGATCTTACTGGAGAATTAGAATATGCTACAAAGTAAGCATGGGACCTGCCTTCCACTCCTGCTGAGGAACAGTAGCACCTTCTCGTTTGCAGTGAGCATATCCTCATATGCAGCAGTGCTTACAGAGCTTACCATTTATTTTTGGCCACTCTCCTGCCCTCTTAGCATCAGAGATGAGTTTAAAAAGTGGAGGAGGCATCTTGATCCTTGGCTTGGTCAGTTTGGGGCAGAAAATCAGTGTAGGCCACAGACTTGTGAACTTGTAAGCAATTGGCAGATCTGCATGAGCTCCCAGGATAGTCTTAGGAAATGTTTTTTTGGAATTCCTCTTTGCATAGTGGGCCTATAGCAGGCTCACTTAGTTTTCTTTCTCCTATGGCTTAGATCAACACTAAGCATGCTTCAGAACCCCTGCCCAGTTACACAGCATTTCTCATTCCTTTTCCCTTGAGGGGAGGAGCAGTGTTTATTCATCTTTGTGTCTCTGCTGCCTTGGACAGGATATGGCGATGGCTCAGGAAAGATTCACTGAATGAATTGATTGTCCAAAGGAGAAAAATGAGGAGGAAGAACCCAAGATTGATCCCTTACATTTGCCTGGGTTTTACCATATGTTGGAGCTGAACTGTTGTGCCCTGGTTGTGAGGTGCTCACTGGACAGTAACCTGTGTCTTGTCTTCTTTCTTGTTTCATCCTCTAGAATTTCCCGTTTTTCAAATGTCTATCATCTCTCGATTCATATTTCAAAAAATTTTGGAGCAGATACCACAAAGGTCTTTTATATTGGCCTGAGAGGAGAATGGACTGAGGTAAGAGGGGGGTTGATAAAAACATATCAGCACACCATCAGAGTGGGGGCTTTTAAGGGAAAGGAAAGAGCAAACGAAACAAATTTTCTTGGTTTCTTCATTATAAAATGTTCCCATTTGACAGACTATAGGTATTTTTAAAATTGAAATTACATAATTTATGTTAATTCACAGTTTTTCACTTTCAAATTTTTTCCTTTGGCAATTTCAGCAGGGCACTGGAAGTATAGCTCGGTGTTTGAGCATGCTTAGCATGTTCAAGGCCCTTCCTGCACCAAACAAAACCAAAAAGCATTCTTGATAATCCTTGTTCTAAGTACCAGAGATAAGATGATAAGATAAACAAGCTCCTATTCTCATAGTGCCCTCATTACAGTGTGGGGAATGGATCTCAGTTGCAAGTGAAACCTTAATAATGAGCTTTGCAAATTTCTCAAGATAAAAAAATGTCAGAAGAGAGGAGCTTTGAGACATCTGCTAGAAAGGAGACTGACTATAGACTACTCCAGTGTGTGTTCTGGGAAGCCACAGTTTCTTAATGGCCCACCTACCCAGCATCTCCATTTTCTTGCAGCTTCGCCGACATGAAGTGACCATCTGCAATTATGAAGCATCAGCCAACCCGGCAGACCACCGGGTCCATCAGGTTACCCCACAGACACACTTCATTTCCTAAGGGCTGGCCGCCCAGGCTCCCACAGATGTGCAGTCAGTGAAGACGTACCACCTGTTGGGAAGGACAGAGATGAGGCTCCAGTGAGAGTTGGTTGCCACAGCCTCTGCTGCGTTTTCTCTTTGGGGCTTGCTGCAGAAATCCAGCCTATGGAAGATACCACACCACTGTGAGGGTTGTGTGGGTGCTGAGGGACAATCGTGGTTCTCTAGGGCACTGCAGAAATTGGGTCTTAGGTTGTGTGGCATCTGGCTGTCATGGATAATGCTTGCTTTTTCCGTTGATGTGGCCATGGGATCCCAAGTGTCTTGTTGCTTTGTGGCAGGATTTTTATGTGATTTTTTCTTTTTCTTTTAAATGGAAACTCTTCCTGAGCTGCAGGAAACCCGAAGCATCAGGATTTTGTTTGTGTGAGCTATCAGGAGGGTCTCCAACTAGAAATACTTGTCCCTGCTTGTTCCTTCTCCCTGTTGTTACTCAGCATTCTTGTCAAGTTGCCTAGCTTGGAGTTGTCCGTCATGCACAGTGTCCCGTGGTTATAGCTTGAAAGGCAGGAGTCTCCTGATGATGTGTGATAGCTTGGGGGGGGAAGATCTTTCCCACTGCCAAGCTAAGCAGTCTGGGGAGAGCATGGGAATCATTTGTGTTTGTGGGTAACCTGGTTGGGGTAAGACTGAGACTTAGTTAAAATTCCCTTTGGAATCTCCTTAATGTTTTATTAGCTTCTAATTTGTGTTGTAAGCCCAATGCCAGAATTTGGAGATAAGCTCTTGAGTTCTTCTGTTCATGGCTTTTATTCACTGTGACTAATAAGCTTCCTAATAAATCCTTGCCAGACATAACGTTTGTATTTTCTTTTGAATTTTAGGTAGTACTGATGAAATTTTTATTTTACTGGAAACTGTATTGAACTTTTAAATTTTTGTTCTGATCTAGAACAAAAAATTTTTGTTTTGATCTAGGTAGATCATAGTGCCACAATTAAGACTAGATCCGTTTCTCCTGGAAAAGTCAAGCTTAATTCTGTATCCAATACCCACCTTTGTAAAGAGGAAGGTAGGGTTAAAGACCGATATTCCATTTCTCATGAAGGGAAGTAACCTATGGAATGATATTTACAAAAACAAGGGAGGAGGGGGGAAAGGAGCACAGATCCTAGAACACATCAAAGGAAGTAAGGGTAAGGAAAGGAAATGAGCACTGCATTCTGTCTAAAGGTGGGCCAGACTTTGGACTTATATTAATATCTGAAAATCAGTCTAGCACTTGGAGAGAATTTAAGTATTTGAAAAGGAGATTTGAGGTTGTCAAGTTCTCTCCCTTGCAGAAAGCAGGAGCAGTTGATAAGGGGAATTTGTGTTGAATCTGATCCTCTTGAGAGGATGCATTGGCCTGTGCTGTTTTCAGGAGGATCTAGCTACTTTCTTCAGCTTTTCCTCTGAAGTCTGCCACCCCAACCTTGTACAGCCTGGAGATTCTGAAATGCAGCATGAAATCAACTAGAATGCAAGTGCAGTTCTTGACGCATTAAGGTTCCTACCCACTTGTCAGCCACAACCTCTTTGTTTTGGTTGAATCATCTTATGGATTAAAAGAAGGGCTATGTTTTTTTTTTTGTTGTTGTTGTTTTTTAAGTATTTTTTAGTTGTTGATGTACCTTTATTTTTTATTTATTTGTATGTGGTGCTGAGGATCGAACCCAGTGCCTCACATATGGTAGGCAAGTACTCTGCCACTGAGCCACAACTCCAGCCCCTATGTTTCAATTTGGACTAAGGAGAAATATAAAGTTAGAAATCTCAGAGCACACCAGCCGTTCATTATTTCTACTAACTAAAGCACAAATGACCCGTAGCCCCTGGGGCTGGGCTTCTGAATTTAAACTTCACTCTGAAGAATTTGCTGAAAATGCCATGTCGGGTGATTGGAGGTGCAGGAAGAATTTCATTCTTCATCAGCAGACCCAGAAGGGATTTTGTTGTGGTGGAAGCCATGCTTTCTTTCATTTTTGTGTTCTCTTGTGACATCCAGTCCTGGATCTTTGGTTTACAGTGGTTTTTTTTTTTCTCCCCAGAATGTTTGTATTCTAGATTCCAACTCCATGATCTGTTGAGTCCTCAAAACCAAACTGCCTCTTGGCTTGGAGAAAGGTGCTTTGTTGACCTTCCAGCTTGTACTGTTTTGTTTCAGTTCAAAGAATTAAAAAAAAAAAACAAAAAAAAAAACCTAGTGTAGGTTAAGCTGGGAGGATGAGTCCTCAGCTGCTGAGGGACAAGTGTAACTCAACTTGCAGATCCCCACATGTGCTCTTGGGGGCATGGTCCTTCCATTCAGCTTGCCTGTCAGACTTTTTTTTGTTTCCCTGAGCTCTATTTCCACTTTACTAGTGTAAAGGCGACCCACTGGTGACCAAATGAAGCCCTTTTGTTCTTGACTCATTGGATGGTGACATTTTGTGCACCCCACATGGCACTGCTGGTCAAGGACAATTCTAAGATAACACTGCTTGATGCCTTTCCAGCTATCCTGATTTGGCCTGCATATTTTCCCAGGGTACCTTTTAGAGTAATTAAAGCCTCATACTGGGACTTTACTGTGTATAAAGCATGTACACACGACCTCATGGGAGCCTAACATTAAAACTATGAGGAGGCAGGGTGGTTATTAACACCATTTTATGGCTCAGGAAGCAGGTCAAGAAAGGTAGGCTTAGAGCAGCCTGTTTCTTTCCCCACACCTTTTCTTTAAGGTAAGACTGGAGGACTAGGTGATCTCGGGTCTTTTCAGGTCAGAGAACCTGGAGCAGGTGGTGAGGACGGACGGAGGACCACGAGGGCTGCAGCTAGGCGCAGCGCGGTCAGGAGTCGTCCTGAGCAGACGAACGGTGCTCTGGCCGCAATGGCGAGACGCGGCTGTGCGAGGCGATAGCCATGCCGATGTATCCACTGATGCCCTTTCACTGGACGTGCACCTCCCCACGCTGTGCTCCGTGACACACACAGACCTACCTAAGCCAGTCCCAAGCGGCCCGGGTCCTCAGGGCGTAACGCAGCGTGCCGGGCGGAGATGGGCCGGCGTCTCGCTGGCCAAGTGCGCGCCTCGCTGAGCGCGACGACGTCCTGCGGGAGGCTCGCGCCGGGAGGTGGGGTCGGGGAGGTGGGGTCGGGGGCGGGAGGCCGCGGGGAAACATGGCAGCCCCGAGCGGGGAGCCGGCCCGCTTCCGGGTTCCGTACCGCCGGCCAGGCCACTTCCGGCAGCGCGATGGCTGGGTTCCCGGGACCCGAACGGAAGTTCCGGCGGGGGCGGCCGAGGGGGAAGAGTGTCTGTGCGGGAGAAAGGGGAGAATCGCCCGAGCGGTCTCGCACGCCCGGGAGAGAGGTGCCGGGCCGGGGCACGGGGCGCAGGGAGCGCCGGGGGCGGCCGCGGGCGGGGCGCGGGGAGGCGGCGCGGGCCGAGCGATGGCGGGGGGGGGGGGGGCGAGGCGCGAGGCGCTGTCCAGTCCTGGGCACTTAGGGAGTGCAGCGCGGCCGGGCGAGAGGCTGCCCGGTGCGCAGAGAGGACTTCGCGGTCGGAAGTGGGGGATCCCGTTGTGGGGCAGGAGCTTCCCCAGGGTCAAAGGTAGAAAGCCCCTTTGTGGGCAGGTGAGAGTCCTGGGTCCAGGTGGAAAACGTCACTGGGGAGGCGGTGACCCTTGTCAGAAGAGAAGTTCCCATTGTGGGTAGTGGGAGACCCCGGGTCTTACTGGGGTTGGAGGAAGACCCCAGGTCTGGGGGGAAGACACTCCTTCGGAGAGGGGGAGCCAGGGTGGGAGTGGGGGAGTCCCCAGAGCGAAGAAGACAGGGAAGCCCAGCATTCCTGGGTGGGAAGAGGAACCCTAGGATCAGAGGTGCAAGATCCTCTGTGAGCTTCCTGCTGTAGGGAGGGGCAGCCCGGGGTCAGAGCTGGAGGGTGGGAGCCAGCTGGGAGTGCTGGGCGCCCTGTAAAAGGGAGGAACTTGGAGGTAGGTAGCGGAAGCTTCCGGAGTTTGGAGGATGCTAAGGGCGGGGAGGGGCCAGCCAGCCTGACATTCTTTTGTGTGTTTGGGAGTCCCAGAACCTGTTCAGCTGGGGCCCCTTTTGGAGTCAGTGGCGGCGGCAGCAGCAGGTAGCCCCACTCAGGGGTGTGTGGAGCACCAGTTGGGGGTGGGTGGACTTGGGAGTCCTTATGCATTCAGAGGACATGGGCAGCTCCAAGGGGCTCTGGGAATGGTTGAGCCAGAACTGCTGTGAAGGCTGGATGGGGGGCTGGGAGGGAAGAAGGAGAAGATGGGAGGAGAGTAGGGTCTGGAAGCGTATTTCTCTGGCATTTTTCTCCCCTTCACATCCCAGTATGGGTGGGGTTGGGGAGGAGGTGACCCAGGGACTCTAGAGAATGGATGACTGAAGGCAAGAGAGGACACAGCACTGAGGAGCTTGGGGGGTGGTCAGCAGGGGTTGCCCTGCCTCCTTTCATTCCCTTCCCACCCTCCAGCCCCTAAGCCCTGCCCCTGCTCATCTCCAGCAAGCTCAGGCTCTGGAGTTGGGTCAGAACCAGGGACAGAGTTCTGGGCCACTACAGTGGCTGCCTCGCTTTTCAGCCCTGGAATGGAGGCAAACTTCTACCCTCCTGCCTGGGGACTTCTGCGTGCTTTTTCTCTGTGTCCAGGACAGAACCTGGGGGCTGTGGCATGGGTGGCACCCCTTGAGCCAGAAGGCTGCCCCCTGCCCAGCCTCGCTCTTGACTGCAGTCCCTCATTGTTCAGGCCCAGCCTGCAGGGAGCCCTGCAGTGTATGTGTGGTAACACCATGTCTGTGCCCCTGCTCACCGACGCTGCCACTGTGTCTGGAGCTGAGCGGGAAACGGCTGCGGTAAGGGGACCCTTTCACCTTTGGCAGCACCCCACACACACCCCCTACTGCCCTGCTCTCATTTGCCAGACTCCTTGGGGACAGCTGGGGAAACTGGCTGGAGCCGGTGTGGGAAACATGGAGGTGGCAGTGCTGGGAAGGGAGTAGGCCGAAGCCAGGAAGCTCAGGGTTAATAGCCTGTTGGCTGCCACCTGTTTCCCCCAGGTCCTCGCCTGTGGGAGGGGTGGCCCATATTGGAGGATCTGGAGGGGGAACTTCCTCATGGCCCCATCTCTGACTTTTCTAGGTTATTTTTTTACATGGACTTGGAGACACAGGGTGAGTGAGCTAGGGAGGGGGCCTTCCTTGCGGAGGTGGGCAGGGCGGACAGCAGGCTGGAGGGCCTCCCTCCCTGCCTCCCTCCCTGCATCAGAGCCTCTTCTCCCTTCCTTCCCTCCTACAGGCACAGCTGGGCTGACGCCCTCTCCACCATCCGGCTCCCTCACGTCAAATACATCTGTCCCCATGCGTGAGTGTCACCCCAGCAAGGGAGAGACTGTAGGGGGATCATTCAGGGTGGGCATGACCCTGTGGTCCCAGGCCTGTTTGCAGCTGTCAGCTGTGTCCTGGGGCTAGGGCTCAGAGCCTGCAGAAGTGCCTTATTAGCCTGAGCTCTTATGGACCCCTCTGGAATGGATCTAGCACCAGCCCCCAGCCCTAGGGGCTCTTAGACCTCCTAGGACCAGGGCCTCCCATGCCCCTTCCCCAAGTACTCACCCACTGAGCTGGAGCCCCGTTAACACCAAGCGCTGGGCTGTGCTTCTCCATCGTTACTGCTGATGCCCCAACCACAGCCTCCAGCCCCACGTGGCAGGTTGCCTGGCAACACCTTAAACACAGGCCCTGCTTGCTGGGAGGGGCCCCTAAGGGCTGCTCTGTCCCCTCCTGGGCCCTCTACTGTAGCTTCCTTACCCCCCTGAGCATGACAGGCCCTTTTGGATCTCCCTCCCAGGCCTAGGATCCCTGTGACACTCAACATGAAGATGGTGATGCCCTCCTGGTGAGTGTGGGGCTGGGAGGACAGAAACCCAGGGAGCTGTGGGGGCTGGCCAGCACAGCTGCCACTCCTCTGCTCCCCTAGGTTTGACCTGATGGGGCTGAGTCCAGATGCTCCAGAGGATGAGGCTGGCATCAAGAAGGCTGCAGAGAACAGTAAGGCCCCGGCCCCTTCTCAGCACCCTTCCCCGTCCCAAGAAAGTGCTGGACAGTACCTGCCTGATTCCCTTGGGGTCCTCCCAGCAACTTCCCCCATCCAATCATGCCCCTCCCCCCAGTCAAGGCCTTGATTGAGCACGAGATGAAGAATGGGATCCCTGCCAATCGAATCGTTCTGGGGGGTTTTTCACAGGTGAGTGGGGAGAGACGGGGAGGGCTGGGTGGGTGAGCTGTGCCTTCATGACCTGTCATTCTCTCCTCCCCCCAGGGCGGGGCCTTGTCCCTCTACACGGCCCTCACCTGCCCCCACCCTCTGGCTGGCATTGTGGCATTGAGCTGCTGGCTGCCTCTGCACCGGAACTTCCCCCAGGTGAGGGTTCCCAAAGACCCTCTCCTGCCTTTGGGTGTCCTTGAGGCTTGGGCATTGGGCTGCACTCTGGTTTTGCCCTGAGTTCTCCCCGGCCCACAGGCAGCCAACGGCAGTGCCAAGGACCTGGCCATCCTCCAGTGCCATGGGGAGCTAGACCCCATGGTGCCTGTACGGTTTGGGGCCCTGACGGCTGAGAAGCTCCGGTCAGTTGTCACACCTGCCAGGGTCCAGTTCAAGACATACCCAGGGGTCATGCACAGTTCCTGTCCTCAGGTCAGTGGGGGGCTTCCCATTCCCACTTCTCTCCCTCCTCCCTCCAGCGGGAGCCTCAATTTCTCCTCACCCCCAGGAGATGGCGGCTGTGAAGGAATTTCTCGAGAAGTTGCTGCCTCCAGTCTAATCAGAGTTGCTGGCCCCCAGCTAACAGGGAACCCAGCAAGCAAGTGCGGCACCATCTTGGATCTGAGCCGGTTGAGCCCGTTCCCTCCCTCCTGCCCTGTCCTCTAAGGCCTGGCCTGGCCTTGGCCTCTTGGCTGTCTGCAGCAGGTGGGCTGCTTCCTTACCCTACTTCCCTGAAGGTGGCCCCCTGGCAGCAGTATTGGAGGGGAAGTAGGCAGCGGGATAAAGGGGCCCAGCTGCTGACCCACTCACTCAGGACCTCACTCACTAGCCCCGCTTTGGGCCCCCTCCTGCGACCTCAGGGTTTGGCCCATGGGGCCCTTACAGGCCCCAGCCCAACGATTGCCGGATAATCCCGTGTCTCCTGCCTCACTGCAGCTGCTTCTCAATCATGAATGTGTCCGTGGCCCGGGCCCCTTGCTGCTGTGGCTGCCTGCCCCTGGGCAGGGGTGTTGGTGAGGAGTTGGGAGCCTTCCCACAGCCATCCCCCCACTTGGGGGCTGGGCCCTGCCTCCCCATTACCCTCCTCCCTTGCAGGCCTGGAGCCTGCAGGGTTGGACTGAGGCTCAAGGTCTCCCCTGGCTGTCTCACCCTCACTGCGACCCCACTCTAGGGCCAGGGAGGACTCGTGTCTCGTCTTCTGTCTCCATGTGGTTTTGGGTGTTTTTCTTGTTGTGCCCTGGATTCCAATAAAATTAAAGAAATTGCTTCCTCAACTCTTGGTCCTGGCTGATTCCATGCAGGGGGTGCAGAGTGACCATCTGCAAGATGCTGCTCCAGTGTAAGAAAACATTTTTTTATTTTAAATACTTTGGAAAGCTCCCTCATAGCTATAGAAGTCAGTGCCTGGGAGGGTGTGGTCCCGAGCCCTGCCTCCTCACCGACTGGTGGTGGTCCTGATGAGTTCCTGACCCCCTGCAGGAGATAAGCAGTAGAGACCCCAGCTCCTGGTCAGTGGAGCTCTTGGCCTCCTGCCTGGTGGGCTGAGTGGGCCCAGCCTGGGTTTGAGGTAGGGGCAGCCTTGGCTTGGCCCCAGAGGTCTGGGGTGCTGGGGTCCTGCCAGAGGCCGTAGAGCAGGCAGTTGTGTCTCTTCCTTCTCTGGTCCATGGTATGGGAGGGTCATCAGGTCTGTGCACCAAAGCCTGAAGGATTTTGCTTCTGCCAGCGCCACAGATCTTCACCTGGGACAGACAAGGTGATGATCAGAACTTGTGCTGAAGGCGGTCCAGGATGGGAGCCCAGACCTGGTTCACTCCTTGTAGCCCCCTTTTCTTCTGGGTCAGGCCAGCACTCACACATCCTGTCCAGCCCCAGGGCCGCTGTCCAGCCCAGCTCCTCCTGGGCCAAGCTGGGGTTGGCATAACAGGCAGCCACATCACCTTCCCGCCGTGCCACCACCTTGTACGGGATCTGCAAGAGAGGAGGCAGGCTT